TATACAAAATCATCCTAGTATGTGCATTAAGTGCTAGGATAAGAAGGCAGATATTGAGTTTATTCAAGAAATTGAAAATATGAATATGACCTGATTACAGGGACAAGGAAGGAACGTAGGGGAAGGTAAGAAAAAAAGGAAAAGATTATAGTTGGAAACCTCTGAACATAACATATATAAAATTTCATAATTTTAAAAATGTAGTTTTTTTCTTCTTCAGAGCTGTAAATTCATGGCCTTCAAATGTCAGGGATCCATATGAAATCTAGAGTATTTTTTTTATCCCCAGACTCATCCTCTTTGCTTGCAGCAAATTCATACCAAAAGGGAGAAGCTAGCAATCAAATTCACTGTTTCTTTTCATTTCTTCTAATATTATTGCTCATGCTGCTTGCTGGAGGGATAAAGAAGTTCAGAGTTACTTCATTATCACTGTTTCCAAAGCTGTGCTTGCCATCTCACCACTAATATCAATCTTACTTCAGTCATATACTCACTTGGGCCCATTTTGCCCTTTAGCAATATAAATTGAATGCAAAGTTTAGGCAGATATTCCTAGTTCGTTACAAATTTGAACTGTGAATTCTGTTTATTGTCAGGGAGAATAATCTGTTATCATTGGTAGTGACTAAAATAGGGAGGAGATGATCATTTTCAAAGAATTAAAATTGATAATGGATTATATACCACTCTCATTTGAAATTCTCTGAAAGTTAGCTAATAGAACCACCTGATATGAAATCTCACAGACAAAAGGAACCTTCTGGGTGTTGAGGCTCTTCAGGGCTCACCCGCATGTTGAAAAGCTCAGACAACTTGACGGACTATTTTTGCATACACCAAAAAGAATTTAAGTGGAGAACTAGCTACAGGAAATGCCTTGAAATTTTGAGTATCTCAAATCAAAGGTCTAATGAGTGGTAAGTAAGTGTTTTCTTCTTGCAAGAATACAAGATCAAGCTGTGTCCTCACCTCTTTGGTTCCACGAAACACAGTCCTATAAACAAACATTCCTCCTTCCTAAGTTTTTTTCCTTCACTGCAAACCTCAGTGTAGTGACCACCTGTTGCTGTGTCACATTTACAAATAGCCACTTGGTTTTATGTTTAAAAATAACAGATAATTCGCATTCCTTCATATTCCTTTCCCCCCTCCTTCTGTCTTTCTCTCCCCCAACTCCCATGTGCAGTGTCTGAAATGAGGGAATCCATTATAGAGACTCCAAATTGAAAAGACTTTGCATTTGTTGGTGAGACTACACAGGCAGCCAAGAGTGGTCTAAGCTAATTGTTGAAGATTGTGGATCCGTGTTTATCAGTTCACTTGTCTTTGGCAGGTGAATGCTCATGCTGCTTCTCTATTTCCCTGAACCCCAAAGACCTAGAGAAGGGCAGGAAAAAAAAAAAGACTGAGAAGAAAAAAGAGGAATGCTTTGAAACCTGTGGTACAACTCTTAGCCCATCTTCTAGAAGGGCTAGCTCATATGGTTTAAAGAAAAGTTGTCATGAATATGCATCTTCATGAAAAAGGTCAGAGTCAGGCATTTTCATCCATTGAATACTTTCTATACCTGTGTTCCACACACATAGTTCCTTGGAGGAACTGTGTATGGAAGTTCCATGAAGGCAGGGATTCAAACTCATTGTGGTCAAAGCCAAAATCATCACCTTTTCTCTCCAAATCTCTTCTTTCTGTGTCCCGCCCATCCCCCGCCTGGTAAATAGCATGGTCATTTTTCAAGTCTGCTAAACTGGAAACAGCCAAGTCACATTTGACTCTTCTCTTATTTACCCTGGTATAACTAATCGATTGTTGCAGCTTATAAAGCTGCTTTTAGTTGACAGTCTCACAATTGCTCCCTCCTTACTTCAAATCTCACCAGCATCACACTACTTCGAAACTTTTAAAAAGCCTCTTATATAGACTGTCCTAACTGACCTTCCTCACTCACCCCTTCTCCTTCATCCTTTCCATTGTCTCCCAAGTTATGTTGAGTAAGGACAGGTATAATCATCTTATTTCTAGGCTCCAGTGATTTTTTTTGTTCAGCCCATAAAGATCCTCCAGGATCTACTCCCACCCTTACAAGGTCATATCCCTGATGTAGCTTTTTCCCACTGCAACACCCGGAAAGGATTCCTGGAACCAGCCAGATTGAATTTGCCAGGTTCTTCAGACACCTGTGTTTGCTCTTGTTATTCTCTTAGCTGGAATGCACTTCTTGTCTGTTTCATTAAATGCCCCATCATGCCCAATATTTGGCCTAAATTCCACCTGCTCAAAGAAAACTCCACCCATCTCCTACGAATGAATTAAGTGCTTGTTCCTCTGTGTTCTATAGCACTTTACTTTAGTTGTTACACAAAGCTGACAGGTTCGTATGACACATTATGTTCAACCTCAACCTGTATTCATTATGCACCAATCCTCCTCTGCCTCTTTAGGTTGGAAGCTGTTGAAGCTTTTGTTACTTGCGCGCTGGGGGAAATAGTTACGATGACAAAGATAATCATAAAATAATCTTTATTTAGAATGAACATGGTGGTCTTTGAACCTAGATGTATGTGACATTTATTTTTCCCTCTTTATTTGTCCTAGGGACCTCCAGGAACTTGATGACAGCACCCAGCTGCCTCTGCTTTGCCACTTCTCAGAAACAGCTGAGGGACTCACCACCATTCGGGCCTTTAGGTGAGCAAACATGCTTTCATATTGCTGATTAGGCGCTTACATCAACAACGAATGTTTATCTGCAAATAACTGATAATTGCTACCATTTTCTGGATGCCCGCCATGTGCTGATAGTGTGCTAAGCCAGGAGTGAGAAAAATGTGGTCAGAAATGATCAGAGTTAGAGTTTAATCGTCTGATGAAATTTTACCAAGAATAAAGGAAGGATGAAGCAACAGATTGGAAAAATACTAGTTGTGTGACTTGGACAAGACTTTAAATTCCCTAGCCTCAATTTTCTCATCCTGTGAAATGGAGAAATCAATCTTGCTTCTTCGGGTCATTGGACTAATTGTTATAATGCATACAAAGCATTAACCACAGTGAGTATTGAAGAAGCATCCAATAAAATAAGTGTATAAGTAATAATAGCAATAATAATGATCTTAACCAGAATAATGCTATTACACCAAATTTGTTTATAATTTAATCATTTTTCTTCAATTTTTTTAAGCAAAATAATAACCTAAGCTTTTGATCAAGAGTATTTATTAATACTTAACACTCACAAAATTATTGGCCAGATGCTGTGGCTCACACCTGTAATCCCAGCACTCTGGGAGGCTGAGGCAGGAGGATCACTTGAGGCCAAGAGTTTGAGACCATCCTGGGCAACATAGGGAGACCACATCTCTACAAAAAACAACTGAGTGCAGTGGTATATGCCTCTAGTCTTAGCTACTCAGGAGGCTGAGGCAGGAGGATGGCTTGAGCCCAAGAATTCAAGGCTGCAGTGAACTATG